AATCTGATCTTGAAAACGATATCATTTCCAAAAGTTAAAAGCTTTCAAAGTATGCTTCTTCAAAGTTATACAAAACTTAAGTTCATCTACAAAAAAATTGGAAACAAGGTATGTTTGATCAAATAATTTTTTGGGTATTTACTCACTTTCCATGTTGTGACACTATGTCATTGATGTAGACTTGTTTTCTCCGAAACATTTCCTTCAGCTCGTCCACTGTTGGCGTTACTTTCGTGATGGCTCGAACGAATTCGTACACTTCTCGCCATGCCTTTGCTTTCAACTTCTCATCGCAGGCATCGTTAAGAAGTGTGTCTTTCCGTGATAATACCTCAAAGAAACAAAGAAGTTGGAAAAGATGAAGCTTTTCAAATTTTACGCAATGATGCCATTAAAAATGATAAGGTGCTACAGATAAAGTGATTTATCGGAAAAAGTGAAAAAATTCCAAGGGGTGGAAAAGCTAATTGAGGCTTGTGGGCGTCTATCAATGCGTATGTAGCCCATATTAGACAGGAGCAATGCATTCCAAGCATCTAGCAGCTATTAAATTAGCAAACTCGATCAATCCTGCCACTATACCCTCAGTCCCATAGGTATGTCGCGTAAGAAAAGTGAGAAATCAGCACTTGATCGCTTTCCCTCTCAAAATTTCTCTATGAACAAGTAAGCTTATCCGCATGAGTTCCAGAGTTTTTCAGTTTCCAAATGCTAACTGAATACAGGAAATTGTGCCCTTTTGTGCCTTATTCAACATGAGACAAACGACATTTGAATCCTCACAAGAATTGAAGCTCATCTTGTTTCTAATTACCTTGGCTTTTTTTCATACAAATTGAAAGCTTTCTAGAAGTATCTGATCGCAATCCAACCTACTCAGTTGTTTCAACACCAATGCTACATAATGTAAAATATGTAGCTTAATTTAATTTAAATTAATCTTACGCTTATGAAGAAGAAAATAATTTTTCTACAGTGGCTCAAAAATGAAAATCTCAAACTCTGAATTGAATAGAAATGACAACATGTGCACAGTTAGTAGAGAGCAAAAAAAGTCTTATCAGAACTGATGTTTTCTGCATATGAAAAAAAGATTTAAAATTAACAAATGAAAGTATTTGTAAAATGATAGCAGTGAGAGCAATTAACTTTGACAAAGAATTAACCACATACTTTCGGACTTTCAACAAAGAAGGCATGATACAATGGAGGATAGAACAGTGCAGGTTGTACACATAACGATTGCTCGTAATCGTCAATCTCATGCGTAAATTGTGACAGACAATCCCGCAGTTCCCTATCCTTCACCCTCAACCCTCCTCCCCCTCCCTTCCCCCTCTCCTGCACTTCCTGATCTTTCCCCACTCCCCCCTTCTTCTGTCTTTTATTTTCTTGCACAATTACGAGTATTACCCCTTCATTCCTGGTCTTACTCCCTAAATGAAATATTGAAGAGTTACTAGAAGAACTGCGATAAACACCTTTAACAATCGGTAAGCAAGTGGGAGGTGAAGGGGATAGGGTCAAATTTAAGTTTAAGGGAACCCTAAATGTCTTGATTTGATCACCTCTACAACGCTAATCCTCAGTACGCCCCCAGCTTTCCTTTTCCCCTCCCTTGCGACTGTCATATAATAGAAATAGGTTAGATTAATGAAAATTTGGTGACACACGTCTGCACAAAAATGTGTGATGATAGGCGAAAAAGCAACAACGTGAAGGAAAAAGGAATTCAAAAAAGCATTTATTTGTAAGATTTTTCTTTACAGTTATAAATAGTATTTTTTCAAAGTATTCAGTGTTACTTACCATTCTGAGCAGCTCATCCATAACTGTTTCAGATAAAACGATTCCACTTGATGACACCATTGCTCCAGATCGCTCTTGTCCGAAGAGTGCAGAAACGTCTACTTCTGTGTCCGGAACTTCCGACTTCACTTCTGTCCCTCTCGACACACCTTCTTCTTCAATCTCGCGCGATTTTGGTTCGAACAGCGGCTCTGGTCCCTTAAAAAGTAAATTCACTCAAATCTAATCAATAGAAAGAACATGAACCATCGTTAAAAACGGCTCCAGAGTTCAGGCTTACCTCCACACTTCCACTTAAACTCACATTAGACGTCGATGCGGGCGTTGCAAAGCATCGAACATCATCATTGCTTTTCCGTAATTGTAACGTTGCATCTCCATTGGAACCATAATCTACAGAACTGCAAAATATGATTTACTATTGCTAGGAGGTAGTTCTTAGGCAGGTAAACAAAACCGATAAACAAGTAAACATGCAGCTAGACTGATCACCCCAGCGCAGTTTAAAGGTAAATATTTGCTAGTCATAGGATGAGGTATCTGGATACCGGCTTCAAAATAGCACGAATGCGTTTCGAAGAACATGAAACAGATTCAAAGATGCCGAAATCCAGTTAGTCATAGTTCACACAAGTAACCGCATCAAGAAATAAATGTAAACTAGGGAAAAGAGAAATTTTCAGAGAACTGTGTAGCTCAGTAGTACTACGTACATATGTTTTATCATTCATTATGTTGTCTATAGCTCATATATCTTGACGGTTAGACATCCAAACACAAAATCTGCCTTTTAAAATATTTACCTCGGACCTTCATTTTGGTTGAGGAA